GCAAAAAAAATTGCGTAGGCCGTTTGTGTTGAGGGGCTGTCATCGATTGCAACATGAAAATTGCATTGGAAAAAATATGATGTTTTCTTGGATCGATGTTGCATGAATGACTGACTGATGTTGCCACTCGGTTAAGCCATTTGCAATGCAACGTTTTTTTATTTGTTTGTCTGTTTGTTTGTTTGGTTGGTTGGATGAATGAATGCGTTTTTCTTTGGAAAGGAAACTCCGTTTGTATTCATAAGTTGAGTTTCGAAAACGATGGAGAAGACTCGAAAAGTGATCTGAAGGAATTGAAGATGTATGAATTTCGAGATTTCAATTGCAGCGTGGAATAATGTTTTCGTTACTTCATTCAAAATGACTGATTGATTGTTTATCTTTGATGGATATGCTCCACGTCATAGGCATCACATCATCATCATCAGCACCATAGCCGTTGAGTAGCATCATAACAACGATAGACAAATGGCGATAACATCCCATCAAAGAGTAATGCAAATAAATTAATTAAAATTGTTTAGACGTGTGGAGAATATTGAGCATCCTAATTTGGATAATCGAAATATTGAAATAGAATTTTAAAATATCTTCATTCCACTTTTCAAAAAATATGTGAATATTTAACCGTGCTATTAAATCATATGTATGACAGGCCATGAATGTTTTACATTTGGACTTTGGGTTTTCTCCCTTTGACCATGTCGCCACATTTTGATAACCGATTGGGGTTGAGGATACAAATTTTTATACATTTGATAATTGAAATAATTTTTCTTGGCAACGGAGATAACACTGGAGGGGGCTAATTCACACCATAATGGCACCAAAAAGGCCTGCAGCTCTTCGACGAGCATCTCATCATTATTTGATTTGATTAATGATTTAGAAAAAAGAAGAGGCGGATACAACCGATCGACCAACCGACCATTCACATTCGCTTTTTCAATGCAAATTTTTAAATGCTATGACATTATTGATTTCTTTCAGAATGAACTCTACAACATTGTACCACTGACAATGACGTTGCAAAGCTGACAATGATGTTTTTTGAAAAAAAGACAACAACAATAATAATAATATTTATTTCAATTTATTCTCTCTCGCGTATCTCAAAAGATTTATGTCAAGGTGTGTACAAATGTGTTTTCTGTGCAAAAACTTAACAGAGACGCCACACATTCATTCACACATATTCATATCAGTTGGTTCAAACAGAAAAAACAACAACAACAACTCCAGCTTCAAACAATTTTCAACGTCTTTAAAATGCAAATAATCTCTTGAAAAATACTTGCTCGCACTATCGTAAATTAGTAGAAAAAAATTATTATTTTTTTTTTTGTGGCATTGCAAAGTTCAGCCAGGTTTTGTTTTTTGATACTGAAAACAGAAGAAAAACAAAATAATAATAAAATATTATATTGGAGTTGGCATGTGCCTGCTATAGATTTCAGAGTCGAAATCGTAAATAATCGGTTATATATTGAGATTTAAATTTTTGCAAATGAAACAGGGGCTAAAATATGTCTGTCCATACCAAATGTAAGAAATAAGTTCTGGATTACAGCATCATAAACTAAACAGTGCAATATTTAGGATTTTTGGCACCTTTTGCTTACAAAACTAGTTAAAAAGTATCAGTCGGTTTTACCGACAGATGTATATCCTCAGCCAATGTTCGATTATTTAAATATATTTTGTCTTCTGTTATTATAATTCAATTTTTTGACCTTCTATGGTGTAGGATCCGAAGGAATGATCTTGCATTTGCAAAAATGGAGCAATATCGGATCATTCTTTCTCTTTCTGTGCAGTAAAAGATTTCCCCTTTATGGGGGAGGTACAAGAAGGTGTATCAAGTTTGGAGTAAATCGCATACTCCCTTTGAGAGTTATCGTGCGCACCAGCCAGCCAGACAGACAAACAGACGAATGGTCGGTCATCGCTAGATCGACTTCAAATGTCTTGATACGGATTTGGTACAAGGAGACCTTTGGGTCTAAAGCCGTTATTTTCATAAGGCACGTTTTGGCCATATCAAATGATATATACCCTCTTTAGCCGTATGGTTGAGGGTATAAAAATATTAGACTGTACCTGATGCCTCGCATCAATAGTCGCCCATATGCAAAATTTGAAGAATCCATTCTAGATCGCATATATCGTATATTTTTGGTATTTAGCGCCTTTTTATTACCCCCTTAGCAATAATTACAAAAGTCCTGAAGTCGAATAATTCTTGTTTCACTCCTTCGGATTCACTGCTTTGATAAATGTCTTTTTCCCAAGAAGTTACATTTTTGAAATCTAATTTCGGATTTCTATTAATATAAGAATTCCGGGTCTATAAGTATAATATTAAGTTCTTCTTGCACCTTTTACTAAAAATGTCTAAAATCTGTTCTATATCTGCTGCATCATACCAAAAGAAACCTGCGTGCAAAATTTAAAAATTTCAGCTCTAAAGGTTCTATGTACTTTACTCTTGGCTCGAAAACCCAAATTTCTAAAAAATCCTACTCATTACAGTCGATGCGCTAATAACGATACCGTCCTTAACGAGTTTCAAAAATTATCACCTTATCCCATTCCACTAGCACTTCCCAATTGCTTCATAACAATGCTGACCTTTATAGTCCTTTTTCTACCCTTGAAAAATGATTTATGAAAATCTTTGCTTGTCTCCATCCCTTCCTCTCTACCTCGAGTGATCATCACTCAAAATTTCAAAATTCTATCTTCTATGTCTAACCAATGTGTACAATTTAGAACTGTTGTACAAAATTCCAAAAATCCCTCTTTATTTCAACCCAACGCATGGAGGGTTACCATCATTCAAATTTTTTAGGTTCCACCTCCTACCAGTCAAAATTTCAAAATTCTACTATTACTGATCGCATAATGACAATAATTTACCATTTTGTACTTTTTGTACCCCACCGCTCGAAGGTTGTCACAATTGGAATTCGGAAGTTTTACGTTTATTTCAGCATTCTGTACTTTTCTTTTTCTTTAAGTACCCTTAGTTTCCCATATGCGTCGATATCTAAGTATATTTTTTTCTAAAATCTAAATTTCAAACCATTCCAGGCCAGTGTTGAAAAATTTAAAAAGATTTGCCAATTTTTACGCACTTCAGTCATTGCGTCTAAAAAAAGTAGCAACGTAATTAAATTACACGTTCTAGAATCGGCCACAATGATGTCAGCCAAAACGAGAGGGAGGCTGAAAAATATCATTAATATTTGACAAGAATTTCTTGTTGTTGCTGTTGTTGTTTCTGGCTGCCACTGCATCAGCGGCAGCAGCAGCTGCGTACTAAATTTGGCACCCTTCACCTGCCGTCAAAACTAGACTAATATTATGTGAGACTGGTTTACTTACGAGTGCAGCACAGTTTTGTTGGTGCGATATCGGACTTTTTGTTGTTGTTGTTGTAGCTTTTTAGACGAAAAGATCAAAGAAGTTGAGAACTATAAAATTCATTCGTGCATAGGGTGATGCTATGTGACTTTATGCTCGACAATGTTACATTTCGCTAATCAGAACGTCAAAGTGGAGCAGAACCATAACCAATGAAACGATTTCAAAGATGTTCTTTTGGGAGCGGGGTGGGGGCACGTCATAAAAAAGAAGTTTCTCTTTTTTATTGAACTATTTGAAAGGCAAACGCAAAAAGCGGCTACAAACAATTGGAGATTTGGGTTTTTGTATCGCGACCTGCAAAAAGGTACCACTTTTTTGCTGTTGTTTTTGTCGTTTTTAGTACTCTCAAACATAAATATGTTCGTTCGTTCGTTCATACACACACACACACATTTTGAATGTCAACCTTTTGATATATGCTGGTCGATTTATTGTCGCTGTTTTTATTTGTTGTTATTATTATTGTTGTTTTTTCTGCGACAATAAATGTTATAGTTTGTTTTCTTTTTGTGTTACAATGAAGTTATTAAGGCCAAGTCGCTGCTCGAAGATGTACCTGCTGTGTGAAAATATCTTCAAATCATTTTACAACACAAAACTGTGGTCGGAAGTTGATTGGCCACCATCGGCATCATCGCCACCAACGTAAGTGGAGCAAACCATCAGCATTTGGTAGCGTGTTTTTGATTTCATTGACAAACAAACCCACCTCTGCAACTCCTCTTCTGCCAGTTGTTTTTAGTGCAGAGTGTGAGTCGAACATGTGTGTCAAATCTAATTGTTTGTGGGTCTGTATCGATCTTTGTCCACTTCTCTATGAAATACGTTTTCAAGAAGATTTGCCAGTAATTGTCTTTATTTACCTCCGGTAGAATCACTGTATCGGAAAGTTGTTACTTTAGAGTTGTTAGATTTAATGCTACTTGTAATTCTGGAAAAGATGTGGGCATGCGGCACATTTAAGGCACAGGTGGGATAATAAAGCCGAAAGCTTATGGAGACTTAATTATTTTCACTAATGGAAAATTACAGAGTTTACTACTCAAGTAGCTAGGATAAAAAAAACTAGCGAAAACAAGCGCTAATCCACCGATGAAGTAAACGAGTAAAATGATCGACTGACAGTCTGACTCCTGGCAAAATTGGTAAAGCTAAAACCTTAGAATTGGGATAAGGGTTACTGATTGTGTAACGGGTAGAAGATTAGGCAGAATTTTTAGAAATCCGAAACACTGAAAACACAAAAAGTACTAAAAGTTACAGAATATTACGACATTACCAGAAAATCACAAACTTCTCATTTGATTCCATTTGCCTTCTGATATAAAACTAACAGCTGGTGGCAATGCGTAGATCTTATTTCCCATAAAGTTGCGTGTGTGTGATTGACAAAGTGGCTTAACGGTGATACTGAAAGTGGTTTAAGACAAGGCCGCGACCACGCACACACACACGACCGACACGAATGAATGCCTAAAACAAACCCAATGATTGATAGTTTAATAAAAACCCAATTCAAGCTGGTCATTTTTTTGCTAATGACGCAATTTTTTTGTGTCTTTTCTTTGCAGATTTCCAAATTGAAAAATATTGAACTAATTAATAACACAAAAAATGTCACAACAACGAATCTCCAGAGATCAGCAACAAAAATACTCAGCAGCCGAGATAACGGCAAAGATATTGAGACAATATCGGCATCACTGAAATCCATACACCAACAACTGAAAGCACTCGATATACCTGAAGTACAACACCACAACAATTGCATGAATCTAATCAATGATAATGGACAATTTAGTACGCTACTCACCACCACCACCACCGCCAGCACCACGAACACCACCACTAACAATATAACACCCTGCAACACCTCATCTCCCTCATCGCCCACTTCCAATCCAAGTGCAAAAATGTTGACAACAAACAACAACAAAGAGGAATTGATCAACGATCATTTGGAGGAGGAACAAGAACTGACACAGCATTTGAATAACAAGGCCATAGAAGAGGAGGACATAACCAAGCAGAGCGATCTTCATCACAATCACAGTCATTCGGATTCCGATTCGGCGCTATCCTCTGCACCGCCCAGCATAAGTCCACAGCCGCCAGCGAATGGTGTGGAGCCAACTGATATTTGGCAAACGGTAAGTCACCATTCTCTCTCAGCTCACGTAAACACTCTCCCTCTCTCAAAGTGTAATAACCTCTAATCGCGTTTGTGTCTTAAGTCTTTTGTTTATTTTTCTTTCGCTGGGGGTCATCCCAGGACTGGCCAAAGATTAATCTAAAATCTTTGCAACGTTGTCACCAAAATGCAAATATTCATTTAATTTCACTTTTTTTCTCAATCATAAATCAAAGTTGAAAGCAGCAGCAGCTGACAAAGAGCTGCACAACTGCATAGAAAAATCACTGCTGGGTGACTTTGCACATTGGACTGACACCACGATAGGTATGACTGTTGGCTCAATGACACATATATTTATAACTGGCAACCCAGCAGCCGCTGGTCGTGCACTTCACATGCCAAAGCATGCCAAGCGAAGCCAGCGCATTCATGGAGACAATGGAAAAATCTCACGAATGTCGTTTGTCTAGGGGACAATCAATGAACTTCAAAAACTTGACGTTAGCCATGGAAATTTACATTTTAACTTGATTTTAAATAGAAGTCGTTAGCAGTCAATAGATTTACAGTAATTACCTGCAATGGTTTTGTAAATTGCATTTTTTATTTTTATTCCCCACAGATACGCAGCTACAGCAATGACATTGAGAAGCTACAAAAGGAAGTCGATTCCTTGAACAAGGAAAACGATAAGCTGCGCCAAGAATTGAATATGGCCAAAGAACAAATCATTGATTTGGAAAATGTTGCCCTAGAGGTAGGTGTCAGCCTTGTGAAGTGGATGTGATTGGAAAGAAGTCACTGACCGTATTCCTTTCTTTTTCAGCACAATGCCAGCAATGAGAAACACCAACAACTCTTGGAGAGAATAAAATGTTTGGAGGACACTGAAAATGATCTGAGAGAACAGAATGAACTCTTGGAATTCAGAATACTCGAATTGGAAGATAATGCTGGTGATAAGGTAAGTGGGAAAATTTATTGCGCTTACACAGATTGACAATTAGTGGGTACTTAATGTTTGTCATAAATTATTTTTTTAGAAATGTTAAACAATGATTTTCCTATTAGGTTCTCCTAATAAATGTTGATAACATTAATGTCTAGACTAGCAAATTGATGTGATGAGTAATATTCTTAAATACCTTCGGTGGCGTCTGAATGATTTAATTGACAAGAAATACACTAGTCTAACTCTCGTTTTTATTTACTAATGGAAGAAGCGTTTGAAGATTTCTATTAGTTTTCTTCGATCCTATTTGAAAAATTTTTTAAAGGAAATTTTCCAAAATAATGCTGGAAAATGAAAATCTTCTACTTATGTTTCATTTTTCATACTTTTTATCCTCGTATACAACTGTTTGAAAACAGTTTTGTAAGTGATTAATGTTATAAATGTTAGGGTTTTTCATAATTCAGTTGTCCGCAAGGAAATATTTTCATTGTTTTATATATATTCGAATGCAGTTTGAATGTGAATATTTTTTTATTGTCACTTCAATTATGAATAAAACAAGTTTAAAACATTAAGTTTGGCCGAACTTTTAATACCCTTCACCTTAGGGTAAAGGAAACATTAGAACCCATGATGAAACACAAAAGACTAATTTTCAGACAAATTCTTGGGAAAATGTATCAAAAATCATTAATATATCGAATATCGCGAGGTACCGTTATATGAGGGCTATACCAAAACGTAGACCAACCATCCTGGACACAATGCACATAGTTCAAATGAACATTGTTAAATCGACTAAGGATTTTATGCTGATTACGAATATATATACTATTTATACCCAACAATATTTACGTTGTATAATTTGATTCTCCTCCTCTTGGGTCTTATTTGCATCTCTATTTTTTATTCAGTTCTTTATAACACCCTGTATAGCTATTTGTCTTTCACCCTGTTTTCAAGTATAACATTATTATGGAGCGCCCTGTTACTGTATTTTGTTTGCGCCTGAAAGTATGCTACACAGTTTGTGTTCAAAACTTAAGGCAAGATTCAAGCAAGCCTAACAAAAACAAATACACTGTCGGAAATCAAGTTAAACACTCCCCAAACAAACCTCCCCCCAAAAGAAAAGGTAAAACAGCTGACCCTACAGCTATTGAACTTTTGAAAAGAGTGATTGCTGGGTACATGCTCGATAGGTTTGAAACATTGCATATAGACATGATAGTTGCCCGATGGTCCTTATATTATCCACATTCTCACATAGCCTTCTTTTTGCCGTATGGGTATAAAAGAAGTTCCACGAATTTATATAACCGATCAGATGAAACTCAAGACCTGGCAATTAGTTTCGGAACTGCGTAGAGTTTAACGACTTCGCTGGTAAAGTGCAAAAATGCTTTCTATTTTGCGCTTCTCAATGCTCATCTTCTATCGTAACCTAGTCACCACGTAGTCAATGGGAATGTCGGTGCTAAATTTGGCTTTACTGTGCATACCAGATTCTATGTATGTATATCAACTAAAACCTGAAGAGAAACTTATGTCGGATTTACACTAGAACCTTTGGGTCAACATATTCTTTGAGATGGCTAATAAAGAGTACATTTATTATCTCCGACAGTGTTGATACAAATATTCCATTCCAAAGGATGACAACTGCATTAAAATATGTAACAACTCTTCCCTTCGAAATTGTTCAGTGCCTCAAAAACCAAAAGCAGTGGCTAGACGTGTCACTTATAACATATTTTTCAAACGTCCTGTTGATCTACTTAGTCCAGATACCCGCGTTACTCCATGGCGTATAAACTGATGCGAACTTCTCATTTTCCAATGCTACTTCGATACCGGGGAAGGCAGCCAATTTAAAAATGGGGCTCAAACTTAATACGTTTCCATCCACATTCATGCTTTATTTCTTTTTGCAGCTTTTCTATGTCTGAGATAGTCAAAGATCACCATAGGAGTAGAAAATATTCCCTAAATTTATAAACCTGTTGATTTCCATGGAAGTATGTGATATATTTAACAGATTAATACCCATTTAATCCCATTTTTTATAACGTATGTTTTCAAAATGCCCCAGGTATTATGTATAAGAGTGAAATACATATTAAGCTTACCTTGAGTCATACTCGTACCACATCAGCCATAAGGAACTGGTCTCCAATGGCAAAAGTTGTTTGTCTATTTTATAGTTTTTTTCTAATCGAATTGACAAGCTGTGATGTTGGGGGGTACAACGAACACTCCTCCCCAAATGATTTTGCAAACAAAGAAAACCAAACCAAAAAAGAAAAAACCCACCAACAACAACAACAACTCACAAATGACATTTGGCGCTAGACTTAATTAAGAAATATGCTACGGATACAAGCAATCCGATCCAATGCTGGTGGTATTACTCGTACTTAACCTTTGACCTTTGATGTATCTTCAATTTCCATTATTGGTTGTACATTAAAAGAAAATAAAACAGTTTAATCACGTTTTTTGCATCGTTGTGGTGAAGTGGAATGGGGAGGGTGCGGGGGGAATCCCAAGACTGCTTTTTGGCCATAATAAGAGACTTTCGGAGGGCCATGCAAATCTTTTATGGAGAATCCAAGAAATCATTTTTTCTCGACAAGAAAAAACGTGACTTTTAATAAAACCGATGTTCATGTTAATGATGATCGCATCGAATTATTAATGGTCGAAGAGAGTTTCATCGTGGGGAGGGGGAGATAAGTGTTTTGTTAAGTTTGTGCCTTAAGTCTTTTGATTTACATTCTCGTCTTAGCATAATTCCATGTGATTTCAAGAGATGTGCGTGTGTGTATTGGAAAGTAGTTTAATTTAAATCCAATAATATTCAATTCCTAATAAGTTTGTGTTACACTTCGATCGCCTACACGCCAACTAATTACAAAGAATATTCACTCACTGCCCGATTTGGTTGCAGAATATGGGCCACTTATTTTTATTCTTTTGGAGAATGGACCGAACAGTTCTTGAAAGGCCATTTTGTGCTTAACTTTGATTGCCAATTGTTGCCACAAGCCATTTTTACATTCGAATAGAATTATTTTTAAACGAATAATTAAATAAACACACGAACATGGGAATAACCCCCTTTTGGCATGGCGTTGTTGTAAGAAGTCTCCAACGAAATCCATTCATACCTATCAAAGCCATGATGTTTTGTATGGCTAAACGTCACTGTGACCAAGTTCTACGACCACGCATTGACCAAGTTCTATGTTAATTGGGGGGTTTCGCCGTTGTTGTTGTGCTTCTTCGTATTCCATTGAAATAAATGCACGTGTGCTACGAAGGAAGAGAACTGTTTTATGACTCACATTATGTAACCCACATAAATATGTATGAGTGTTTGTTATACTTTGAGACATGTTTTATTGCAAATATTTACAGAATCTGGTTTTTGGCGCGCAAATTTCTTGAAATATTATTATTATTTTTTTGGTTTGTTTTGCGGTCATTTCAATCATTGTCGTCAAGAAACAATGACTGTTTAAGGCTGGGTTTATCTACAATAAATAAATGTAATCACAGTACAACGATCGCCACACTTCCTCTCCTTTGGCAATGAACAGTTCTTGTTTGAAAATAGCAACGAACAGTGGTGGTTGAAATTGAGTGCATCAATGTAAATTCTTTTACTTTTCGCCTACATTCCTATAATGGAGCCAATTCAAAATTTTCAAACGAAAAGTACGACATAGGGCAAAGTACATATTTTACCATAAATAATAGATAAACGGCTGGAGCTACAATCATGAAACGTGGTAGGTTAAAAGTGAGAGTTTTTGGATGTGTGTATATATCAATCTTCATTGTGTCATAATGTGGAAGATTCGCCTTTGAAATTACATAATATATCGAACACATTACTCCAGGATTTTTTTCCAGTACTTCCAGTTTTTATCCTTCTAAAATCTATATGACTCCCTATGTCGTGCCAAATTAGGTATAATTAGTAATTAGAAGCATTACCTGTTCGTAAAACTTAAAAAAAATGGAAATTAGGATATTTTTGAAATTTGTTGTGGCAAAGTGGTAGGCTGTAGTATCGATATCGAAATTTGAAACAATTCCGGTGAATAATGTTGCTAATATTATCATTATCACTATATGTGGGCTATACGAAGACGTAGCAAGTCCACGTCATAGAAAATTTTCTGGCATAGGTTGTAGTACTCATTACGAGCTTTTAACTTTAAGTACGAAATTTTAAACAATTGAGGTTAAAAATGTCAAAATACCGAATATCGGAGGTACCGTTACATGGGGACTATACGATATCGCGGACTTAAACAGACAATTCTCATCCAAGGGGTAAAGTACTCAGAAGGAACTCCTAGTGTGGATTTTCAGACAATTCTTTGAAAAATATGGCTACAATCATCAAAATACAGAATATAGGGAGGTATCATTATATGGGGGATATACGATATCGTCGATCTATGTAAACAATTCTCTCCCAGGGTTAAAGTTTTCAGATGGAACTCCTTTTGAGACCATTTCATCGAAAAATGTGGCTAAAAGCATTAAAATACCGAATATCGGGAGGTACCGTTATATGGCGGCTATACGATATATTGGACCTATGTAGACAATTCTCTTACCAACAAAGAACTCCTTGTATATAATTCCAGACAATTCCATTGAAAAATGTGCCTAAAGCCATACGATATTGTGGGCCATACGATGTCGTGGACCGATATATCACATCTTCGAACTTGACCTGCCTGCACATAAAATACTGATCTGTGGAAAGTTTTAGTGTCCTATCTCAATTCGTTTTGACTCTAGCGTGATTAAAACAGACGGACAGGGCAAAATCGTCTTAAAATTTTGCGCTGATCAAGAAAATGTATTCGTTGTAAGGTCTAGAATTATTATTTCGATGATGTATCCGTAGTATAAAAACAATACCTTTTAAATTTGAAGACTGATTTAAAACTTTAAATGAGTACTATTGGTACAACAATAGACAATTG